CGTCATGGGTACAATGTGTTAAGCCCATTTCTGGTGTCCCCCGCCGTGATATTGCTGGAATATAGCTAAAAGCGCCGTGAAACCATACTCACTCACTCAGTCTCTCTAATTCAGTAATCCATCTTTATTAACAGAACATAACAGTTTTATTTAACTTGGACCATTCCATGATCCCTCATCACAACATTACATGATTTACAGTCAGATCACTAGTTTCTACCTTTCAGACATGTTTGCTCACCATTGATGTTTGTTTAACAGATTGTCAGGCTATACTCAATTGCAACCTTTCACCATCAGCCCTCGGGGTTGAGGAGATACCACGCATGCGTAAAGGATCAGACACACAGCCCAAGACACCCAGATCCATTTGTGCTATTGGACGGTTGATATTAAACGGTGGTCAGCACATATAGCCACATACATGCTTGATGGCGATCGAAACGTCTGTAGGATGGCCGCAGCTGGTTGATTCTCGGGAGTACTGCTGCGGCTGGCTACAAATGCGAGGGTTTTACGACCAAATAAGGTTATTGATATCTTATGTTTCCAAGAACCTTGTAAGAGAAGTTCTTGAAGTTGTCATCTGGTCTGGCACGAATCCAAGTTTCTACAGAATCTCACAACTGATAAATGTTTAATGGGGTATGGCGTGGTCCGAAAATTAGGCTTCGTAAATCTCATTTGCAGCTGATGTGATTCCACCTTATGTGAACGTTTCATGCACGTCACTAAAAGTTTTACAATTGAGCCTCAGTTTTGGTTTTAGTGGCGTGCATGGCAGGTTAAATATATAAACTTGAAAGGTGAATGGTATTCACGTTTTCTATTGGGGTCGAGTGTCCTCGGAGAAATTGGGACAGAATAAGTTTGTTTGTTGTTTAACGCCGCACTCAAATATATTCTAGCTCTAAGTCGGTGCCCTGCAAATAATATCCAGTGATTAATATTATGAGCAATGTCCCAGGTTGCCAGGATACGATGCCACGCTATGCACCAACTCACAGAGCCTGACCACCCTCTCCGAGCTGGAATCCCAGTCTGGTCCAGAGTCGGTTATTTACAGACCACCGTCATATAGCTGGAATATTGTGGCGTTAAACAACAAACAATAAAGCCCAGAGGCTTTTGATGAACTAATGTAGTGAACATAATGATCCTTCCCTAATACTTAAATATTCACATTGATCGTCTACCTGGCCTTGTACATTTTTTTTCACGACCCTCCCTAAAAGACCAAATGCAAAAGCACTTTTTTATTGTAAAATTCCCATTTTAGTCATGACCCTCCCCAAATAGGTGTTATTATTTTATAACCCTCCCCTTGGGACTGTCATATTTTTTAGTGACCTTCCCCTGATTCCCACTGACCCCCCTGATCGTTGCTTGCCTCCCTGTTCTCATCAACTGAACATGCATTGTCTCTACTCCACATCAAGAGCAGGTTCTGAGTTCATAACAATCATTATGACAATAATAGCACACACGGGGAATGTGCTCAAATGTCCAATGTCCATATTCTGACTTGTTTCAGAATTTGTAATTAACACCCTCGTGAAAGTGTGACATTATCGTCAATTCTGGTATGCAGTAATTGCTAAACTCATTCACATCAGAAATATTGAACTAGATGCACATACAGTGGCGTTTGAGACTTTGTGCCCAACGTACAGGTGCCAATTGCCCCAGCAACCTAGCCCCAAGACTAACATCTATTCCCTGAAATGAACATATCTTACAGAAAAAAAACAGTTGTTAAATTACGTTAATAAAATATAACACAAAGGAGCCCAAGAGTCTCTCTTCATATTCAGCCTGATACTGCAGTAATCTAGACTTGCCTACTATTATAGATTTGCACGGGCTGTTTGTGATATATTTGTTTCAGGGTCTGTATGACAGACTAACCCCCTTCGAACAACCATTTGCTTGTCTGATCAAGCTTACTAACCTAGATCAGTGTAGCATAAAAAATATTTTCTTTTCTCATTCCACGGAAGGAATCAATTACAATATTTGGAAGTAATAATGAAAATGGGCAGCCAGTAAACCCCCCTGAACATTGACGGTTTAATTCAGGCACCTTCACAATCAGATTGAAAGAGAAACAAGAATCAATAATGACACGCAGAAAGCAAAACGCCTGTTTGTACAATCGCAGGTTTGTGAGATATTTTTTCCATTTTTTTTGCAGATGTAGTGATGGTAGAGCTGCGATGTATCAGAAGCCGTGTTTACCGAGAACGCTATAACATGAGCTTCCTTAAATCATTCAATACATCGAACAGAACGTGTATGATCCCGACGATAGAGCCAGAAGCTGGATTCGTGCTCACAATGCGTAGTGTTAAATTAGCGCAATGTTCCAGAGGGGGGACTCCGGACTCCAGTCTTAGAGATCGGATTTCATCTTCCTGGGTGTAACGTTGCCATGACGAGCACGTGATCAGTCATATGTGTCAGCTCACTGAGGGATTAATGCAAGTTCCCGGAAGATGAGTTTAAATTATTGAGTTAGAGGAACACGTTGTGCTTCCTGTATGCTAATAGATCGATCTGGGGAGCGATAATTATCACAGCAGCCGGTAGGACGATGGGCGAATGTCGTGCCGGACGCCCATTCATCCGTAGATCAAATCAAAATACTTAGTGAAATGCTCCTCGCTGTTCTCTGTCAGGGCAAAGCCTGCTGAAAAGGAAATTAATTTCATGTCTTTAGTGGTATAAGTCAAACGACAGGTCGGGTTATTTATAGGAAGTATGTATTGGTAAATACACGTTGAGACATCGATTTGTGCTGGTAGTGTCATATGTTAGGGTTTCTTTGCAACCACAGCCATACGCACAAACCCCAGCTTAACAGGACGTAAATCAGCGTGTAGTTAGATCGGATGTAGACACGCGAGAACTGACCGCAAGCGCCGCCATCTTAATACAATACCGGATATAAATACAAACCGCTGTGTGATCAAGATAATGAAACGTGAAATAATGAGTGGGTGAGGTGTGTTTAACGCTGATTTAAACAGTATGTCTGTATCTCGGCGTGTCAGATGGATGTCGAAAGAACGCTGAAAATGGTACAGTCGTAGACGTTTGCATCTTTGGTAAAAACCTCGAGTATGGCGCTGACAGACAAAGGAATATAATCGGGGCGGATGTTGGGTTCGAACCTAGGACTGACTGGTCCTGACCAAGGGACGGAACTCTGCACAGATAGATGCGGCGCTTTTTCAGCTGCACCACCTCAAATATGAACACAAAAAACAAAACAAAAATGCCAGCGTCTATTAATATATGATGCTATTTTTCATGTATCAGACATGTCCCGATTGGTGCCTGGAGCTGGAGTGAGTGAGAATGGTTTAACGCCGCTTTTAGCAATATTCCCGCAATATCACGGCGGGGGGACACCAGAAAATGGGCTTCACACATTGTACCTATGTGGGAAATCGAACCCGGGTCTTCGGCGTGACGAGCGAACGCTTTAACCACTAGGCTACCCGACCGCCCCTACTCAGCTGGATGTATAGTCTTAGTGTAAACGTTACCTCATAAAGTAAGTTAAGCCATTAAGTATGTGACAAGCGGTAATATTTAGTGCATAATTTGAATAAATGCAATCACTGCAGGCATGCTGCCTCGTCTCTGGACCCGTTATTCCCTGTGCAGAGTTACGTCCCTTAGCCGTGCACGTGGCCTTGGTCATTATGTTGCTCTTGTTCGTAGATTTCCACAAAGTCTACTACCTGCGTAATGTTGGTCTGCCCTTGAACACTGACGTCGAGGATACAACTGATATGCTGTTCAATGCGGCGAATAACTCACTCACTCTAGTTTTATATATGTAGCTCCTTCCCCGACTAATCCAAAATAGCTGGAGCTGATGTATATAGAAAATCTCACCCGAGTGTCTTTTGATATCAAATATATCAACACGAGTTGATAAAAGTGGAAAAATTCCGAGGCTTGCCGAGGATTTTTGCCACTTTTATCAATGAGTGTTGATATATTTGATATCAAAAGACACGAGGGTGAGATTTTATTTATCATCCAACATCATTCTTTCAACTTTTTCAATTTGTAGACAGTAATTAGCAGTGTCTGCAGTGTAAAAAGTACTGCAAACAGCTTCAGTAGCAGAGCCATTAGTGATGTCATTTGATTGTGACGTCATGGTTACCAGTGACGTCACAATGGTCTGCAATGCATTGTGATGTAATTTCATTGCAGCGATATCTACAGTGTAGATATCGCTTGATCTCATCCAAGCGATATCTCCTGTGGGAGCTAGTTTTGGATGATAAATCCTATTTCAGTGATGGCGGAGTGCTGCGCGGCCTTCATCCAACACTACGTTTAGTTTCAGGATCCTGCTTCGGGGTTATTAAAACATATCTAATTACTAATAGTCTGTTAGTGTGTTGAACTGGGTCTTTCCTATATACCCCTTTCGGCTCCACTCGGGTCCACTCGGCTACTTCCGTTATCTACAATACACATTTCGGGAAGCTCTGGAGAAGTGGTAGTGCACGGGACATTCGTGTTTCACTATATCCGAGTAGTAGTAAGTTCGAACAACATGACGTGCGATTTTGTAAACAGGACAATGCATACAGGACAGAAATTAGGTAGACACAAGGTCTGAGGAAACAATAGCAATTCAATATCAGGCGACGAAAACCAACATGCAGAGTTGCGACCCTTAGACTAATCAGGATCTTGTCACCTTGGGTCCGATTCCTCTATTATCACCGATTATGAAAGTTAGTTTGTCAGCATATTGGTCGTACTGCAAGTTTCCCCAAATCCCTGCATCACTTCGGGCTTTCCTCCCACAGTTATCCAACACGCCGTTACATGGTTGAAGAACTATTTAACGCGGCGTTCAGCACATTCACTCACTCACCCTATGACTATTGTTAGGTCCAGTTGCGTCATGTGACGTGAACGTAATTAGTTTCAATATGAATTCCGTCAAAGACCACAAAACAATTATATATTGTAATCCACCATTTAATAAAAAGCTAAGTAACAACTTAAATGTCGTAGTCGTGCACTGTCGCATCTTCCCAAGGCAAGGTAGTTAACTGACTGTTAAAGTCCAGTTTCCATCCTTGCCAAACGAGGCTGAAATTCTGGAGTTACATTTTGGCTGGACTAACGAGTCTATTCATAGTCCAATCCATATCGCGCAATAAACTTGACATCATAAACATGGATTTCAACCTGCAGATTTCGGTCGACTGCGGGATTTGCAAAGCATGTGTACTGTCAAATAAGCGTCGACTGATATTTTCCAAATCCTTTCATGTTTTTAACCAGGGTCCTCAAATGATTTGATGCACTTCGCGAGGTACGCCCCGTTTTCTACAATAGATCGTCTTGACTGCGCGCCGCCATTTTGTTTGAAGCAAATGCAAGTGCTGTGTGGGGTGGGATCTGATTGGTCAATAGGAGGGACATAGAACGGACTAAACTCGTAATGGACACTGGTGGGGCTACGATTAAGCCAAGAAATACCAGCCTCTTTATGCAAGGGTGGAAAAAGGACTTTCGTCGTCAGTTAACTCCCTTGCCTCGTGAAGATGGCACTGTCGTCGATGAATAAATAACATAAACCGCAAATGTACAAGTACCAAGTGTGCTTGCACTCGACTTACACCGTAATGAGAGTCTCGCTCAAATGCTGATATAACGGCTAGGTCGTGATGCTCGTGGTGTTTGGGCGTGGGGTGGGTGAGGGCGTGGGGTGTGGGAGGTCGTGGGGAACTAGGTAGCTATCTGTATATGAGTGGGTGAGTATGGTTTTACGCCGCTTTTAGCAATATTCCAGCAATATCATGGCGATGAACACCAGAAGTGGGTTTCACATATTGTACCCATGTCGGGAATTGAACCCGGGCCTTCGACGTGACGAGCGAACGCTTTAACCATTAGGCTACCCGACGCCACTCTAACTGTATCTGTTTCGAGGGGTTTCTAGAAGTATCCATTAACATTTGTCTCCACTGGGACCAACTGTAGTTGACATGGTAATCCACTGTTCCCGCCACTATGTTAGAGTGTCTGCAGATCGGGTTTGGTTAGGCGCTGAATGTCCACTCATCGTTGTAGGTTTACAAGCTATATGCATAACTGACCTAGACACTCACACAACATACAACACATCTTCATGTAATGGCTCCACATGCAACATACAAACACGTCCCAAGTGATCGTGGTAGGGTGTTATCACGTATATACATGCCAGCCCATATGGTGTACGATCCATCTTAGAAGCTTCTCACAACACAGATTCACAACAGTCAGTATAGATGCAACATCCCTGTACACGGGAGACATGTTCTAGAGGGTCACACAAATGTCTGACTTTCATTTTCCTGGATATTGCTTAGTCTGCCTGACACAAAGTATTTGTTCTCTATAACTCTCATGCTGGACCCCTCCAATCGCGGCAATGATGTTGGGTCGCGTGATCTGCAGCAACAGTAACAGCAGCAGCAACACATGTCCCGGAACCCGCGTCTCACATCAGGGAGGATGAGCCATAGCAGAGGCGTGATGGCGGAGTTGGCATAGGCGACCCATAGCATGAGGTTGAAGGAAGGATGACCACCGAGATTTAGACTAGACAAGAACTGTGTCACACCATACGGCGCCCACATAAGAACAAACACCACAGAGATGACACACGACGCTGTTGTCTGTTGTCGCACCGTCTTACGGCGTTCCTGAGAATGCATGATGGCCGCTGGGGGGCGCTGTAGGAACAACATGATTATTATAACCAGCGCGAGACACAGCACCACGGCGGCTGGAACAATAAACGTGACAAGTGGAATGACAAACTCCAGATCGGAAAACTCCGCCTTGCAGACAGGTATGTTGCTGAAATCAGCTCGCAATAGGAAGAATGGTATGATGAACGCTGCCCCGATGATCCATGGTCCGGCGATTAGTACAGCCCACAGAGGCAGCGTTGATCCTGGACTAAGATCTGGGATCGCCAAGTCAACAGAGCCTTCCGCTACCAACACTAACACAATTAGAATTGACACCGTGGTGAGAAGCTTGTCGATCATAAGCCAGAACTGGCAGATCTCCGCGCCGAAGTTCCACATGTCAGTCACAAACATGTCCACTTTCACCGGAAGTACAGTGCAGCCAAACAGGAAGTCGGTCATGGCGAGGTTGATGATGTGGAAGTTGTAGGTGTTGTTGCGACGGTCCTTGCGTTTAAGCAGCCCCAGGACTAGGAGTCCGTTCATCAGGATGATCCAGATGGTGAAGGCGATGAGGAGGTTCACCTGGAATACAACACAGTGTCATTACACACGATAGTCAGTACCATTACTCAGTGGGGAACGTACACAGAGGGTTGGTGGGTAAATGCGAGAGTGAGTGAATGGGTGTGATGTGAGTGATATTTGAGTGAGTGAGCAGGGTTTCACTCCGTATTGGTAGGCAATTTCAAGCAATTTGGTGTTTTCCCTAGTGTATACGGATCTTCGGCCTAACAAGCACACGCATGAAGACCTTGGTTACACCACCTTCCCTCAGAACGTCTAGACTATACACAAATGCAAACAAGCATTTTTTCTAATTCAAACCGTTGTGGGGATTCCGGGTGACAAAAGGTCCCGACCACCTCACGTCCTTTCTATATAGACCTAGTGGGGGGGGGGGGGGGGGGGGGGGGTGTAAGTGCCAAACGCCGCAGTTAGCAACACGAGACTTTATGGAGGCGGTCTGTAAATAAACGAATTTCTGCAGACAAATGAGCGATCACCTCCTTCGGGATTAATTCCATGCCAGCCTAGTGACATACTAGATACTGTGCTCGCTGACTTAATGCTATCATCGTATCCGGAATTGCATGGATCAATGCTCATGATGTCAATCATTGTCTGGTCCAGACTCGATTATGTACAGATAGCCGTCATATAGCTGGAATATTGCTGGGTGCGACGTAGACAACACAGAGATAGACACATAGACACAGAAGAAGACAAACATTGAGACACATAGGTAGACACATAGAGACACAGAGGTAGACAAATAGAGACAAAAGAAGACACACATAGAGACAAAGAGGTAGACACATAGGTAGACACATAGAGACACAGAGGTAGACACATAGACAAAAGTAGACACACATAGAGACACAGGTAGACACACACAGAGACACAGGTAGACACACATAGAAACACAGGTAGACACACATAGAGACACATGTAGACACACATAGAGACACAGGTAGACACACATAGAGACACAGGTAGACACACATAGAGACACAGGTAGACACATAGAGACACAGGTAGACACATATAGAGACACAGGTAGACACATATAGAGACACAGGTAGACACATAGAGACACAGGTAGACACACATAGAGACACACATAGAGACACAGGTAGACACACATAGAGACACAGGTAGACACACATAGAGACACGAGTTGACACACATAGAGACACAGGTAGACACACATAGAGACACAGGTAGACACACATAGAGACACGGGTAGACACATAGACACAGAGGTAGACACATAGAGACACAGGTAGACACACATTGAGACACAGGTAGACACACATAGGGACACAGGTAGACACACATAGAGACACAGGTAGACACACATAGAGACACAGGTAGACACATATAGAGACACAGGTAGACACACATAGAGACGCAGGTAGACACATATAGAGACACAGGTAGACACATATAGAGACGCAGGTAGACACACATAGAGACACAGGTAGACACATATAGAGACACAGGTAGACACATATAGAGACACAGGTAGACACACATAGAGACACACATAGAGACACAGGTAGACACACATAGAGACACAGGTAGACACATAGAGACACAGGTAGACACACATAGAGACACGAGTTGACACACATAGAGACACATGTAGACACACATAGAGACACAGGTAGACACACATAGAGACACACATAGAGACACAGGTAGACACATAGAGACAGAGGTAAACACATAGAGACACAGGTAGGCACACATAGAGACACAGGTAGACACACATAGAGACACGAGTTGACACACATAGAGACACATGTAGACACACATAGAGACACAGGTAGACACACAAAGAGACACGGGTAGACACATAGACACATAGAGACACAGGTAGACACACATAGAGACACAGGTAGACACACAGGTAGACACACATAGAGACGCAGGTAGACACATATAGAGACACAGGTAGACACATATAGAGACGCAGGTAGACACACATAGAGACACCGGTAGATACACATAGAGACACGGGTAGACACAGGTAGACACACATAGAGACACAGGTAGACACACATAGAGACACAGGTCGACACACATAGAGACACAGGTAGACACATAGAGACACAGGTAGACACATAAAGAGACACAGGTAGACACACATAGAGACACGAGTTGACACACATAGAGACACAGGTAGACACACATAGAGACACGGGTAGACACATAGACACAGAGGTAGACACATAGAGACACAGGTAGACACACATTGAGACACAGGTAGACACACATAGGGACACAGGTAGACACACATAGAGACACAGGTAGACACACATAGAGACACAGGTAGACACACATAGAGACACAGGTAGACACACATAGAGACGCAGGTAGACACATATAGAGACACAGGTAGACACATATAGAGACGCAGGTAGACACACATAGAGACACAGGTAGACACATATAGAGACACAGGTAGACACATATAGAGACACAGGTAGACACACATAGAGACACACATAGAGTCACAGGTAGACACACATAGAGACAGAGGTAAACACATAGAGACACAGGTAGACACACATAGAGACACATGTAGACACACATAGAGACACGAGTTGACACACATAGAGACACATGTAGACACACATAGAGACACAGGTAGACACGCATAGAGACACGGGTAGATACAGACAGGCACGCTGATTGCCTCACCTTCCACACCACATCAGCCGGGAACATATTTCCAGACTCTTGCAGCGCCACCTCCTCATGTGGGGAACTGTCAAGTGACGACTGGCTCATTCTTGCTTACTTCATACTCTGAAAAATATATCATGTTAACACAGTCAGTTACTGACACACAATGGTGTATTGCAACACACACTTTCACACAAGCGGCTGGATTTGCGACCACATAACTATGGTTTCACGCACTATATATGGCGGGGTTCGAACCCAGGTCTTCTGGCTGAACTCGACTGCAGCTACCATGGCTCTCACTAGATATTGACAACACGCCACGAGTAACAAGGCCGAACTAATCATTGTAGTAAGACAGGCATCTTGAACTGGTTATCGATTGAAAATACATCTCACTGTGTAAGCTCAGTGTACAGGCCTAATGACGTCGTGCTGTTTATATATACAAACGTACACTCTATGTTTATATTGATGATATTAATGAAGAACAAGGGTCACATGAGAAACCTAACTGACACACTTTTTCTATTTCTGATTACCGCTAAATACACGAGAAATAATTACCGCTTAATACACGAGAAATCATTACCGCTCAATACACGAGAATTTTTACCGCTTAATACACGACAAATAGTATAAAAAATTCAAACCACATATTCCAACGCAATCAATTCCTCGAGGCGTAAGTTCCGCTACGTGAACTTTTAACGCCACCTGCTGGAAGCAATTACAAGTACTGGTATATATTCGCTGTTGGTGCGTACGTAGGTCTTTGAAAACAACGTTTTCCTTTCATCGGTTTGTTCATAAAAACTCTTACGTCTTATGTCTGACCGCTAGTCTCTGTCTGAAACACTGGTTGCCTGTCTGACCGCTAGTCTCTGTCTGAAACACTGGTCGTCTGTCTGACCGCTAGTCTCTGTCTGAAACACTGGTCGTCTGTCTGACCGCTAGTCTCTGTCTGAAACACTGGTCGTCAGTCTTACCGCTAGTCTCTGTCTGAAACACTGGTTGCCTGTCTGACCGCTAGTCTCTGTCTGAAACACTGGTCGTCTATCTGACATCTAGTGTTGTCCGAAACATTGTTCGTCTATCTCAACACTGCTCGTCTGTCTGACCAATATTCTCTGTCTGACACACAAGGTGCGACACGTCCTGCCTGAATTTCGCAATAGGCCCTGTCCGTATAGTTAGTTACCAATACGCCATGCTTCACTAGTTTGCCCTGTACGTCCAATGGAAAATGACGGCAGACAATGAGGACTCATTATTATCTGGCGTTGACACTTAAGAATTGACTTTCACTTTGTGTGAGTTCATTGGAGTATGAACCTTCATAGAGTGAGGGCCAAACTGTATGAACGTCGGAGCTTGCGACGTGACGGGAGAGATTTCCGAAGTTGTTAATGAACCTGTGGCGGTTACATGTGTTACTCATCATTGATCAACTGGCGGATAATTGAAAGGTGAATAAAGATGCGTCAAACAGACACTAAGGTAAATTCACAGATTGCTGAAGACGGTCAGTGTCAGCCAAAGACACGGATCGAGTCGATACCACGATAGTTTAGATGTGCATTTCTTCGTTTGTTCATTAGGATAGGCCGTAGCGAGGATATTCGTGAACAATCATGCAGTCACGCTCTCTGACATTTCTCAAAGTATACTGAAACGCTGAGACCAAGAATAAAGGTTCTAAATGATCAGAAAGAACACTTATGTATGTTTTCGTGTTTGGGAATTCCCAGGGGTTTCCCCAGGAATGTAGAGTGAGTGAGTGAGTATGGTTTTACGCCGCTTTTAGCAATATTCCAGCAATATCACGGCGGGGGACACCAGAAATGGGCTTCACACATTATACCCATGTCGGGAATCGAACCCGGGTCTTCGGCGTGACGAGCGAACACTTTAACCACTAGGCTACCCGACCGCCCCCAGGAATGTAGAAGTAATCCGTCAGTGTTTACGTCATTTCAAGAACACGATCTCGTGAAAAACGTATGAACGTCAAATTGTGTCGTTCATACACTTATGAACGTCAATTTCGCGGTCATGTGACCGACCTCTCGTCCAATGGAAAAGCCGTATATCGTGTAAACTTCAAATTAAAAAATTATTTTATATTGAATTACTCGAAATACGAAATACTGATTAAACGGCTGCCACTACGCCCTGCTTGTACACGCTATGGTCGTAACCTTATCCATTATTTGTAACTTATTTCCAGAATTTTAGGGCGATGGTGTTATCCCAGATATAAACTTTGTTCGAACAACAGTGATTCATTATAAACTTCAGGCACCATGATGTCTTGCGCCACTAAGCGATGTTGCCAGAACATAATTAGCACGCCACTCAAAGAGAGAAATAGACTCTCCACAATCCTCGCCCTGCCTCCTCTTGCAATATCTGCCTCAAGAAATAATTACTACGAAAAGAGACAATATAAAAATCCGCCTGCCTTTTCAAGTGCATTCCAGAGGAGAAAACAGGTACAACAAAGGCCCGACAACGCGTTACTCATCGTTTACGACGCTGTGTCGTTACACGAAGACTCTTGCGTCAACGCGGAAGTCGGCCCGAAACATCTGCTCGCGCTGCTTGATCTGTACTGTCTAAAATATGTCTCCAAGGCAAACGTTCCCAGAATAACGGTAATACATTATAAGTTTTGATGGCCAACTCTTGGTACTCGCATGGATTGTTACACTTGACAGATACACGTGCCTTGGTAAGTTTGTTGCAAGAGCGTTGCAAGTTGATGATCTTCACGTACATCGGTTAAGGGGGCGACTGATACGCCGGGAACATCATCAACTGTGTGACACCACTGCATCACGCTCATAACGTGCGTTTTAACCTCTCGACAATGTTGGTGTTGGCATAGGGATGGCACAATGTCTGAGGGTGGACGTACCCGTGTATTACAATGATACAAGCCTATTTGCTTTTCGTGTAATTATGGCCATTTAATGATTTGCAGTAGGGCCTGTATCCGTACCCTACATGTAAAGCCCTTTTGTTTTTGTTTAACGCCGCACTCAGCAATATTCAAGCTATATGACGTCGGTCTGTAAATAATCTAGCTTGGACCAGACAATCTAGTGATTGACATCATGAGCATCAATCCACGCAATTGGGATACGTTGACATGCATCAACCAAGTCAGTGAGTCTGACCACTCGATCCCGTTAGTCGCCACTTACAAACATAGTCGCCTTTTACGGCAAGCATGGGTTGCTGAAGACCTTTGGTACCCCGTATGTTCACGGGTCCTGCATGTAAAGAGTGGAGTTACAAGTTCTGCAAGTTCTGCATGTTCTGTTTGATTGGTTTTCAAGAAGCCGGCGAGTAAATAAGAAAAATAACAACTTTATGGATAACAACTTCTGTTTTATTGCAGTTAGCGTCGTTTCGACGTAGATTCTTGCACTCCAGCTTGATAACGGAGCAAGAATCTACATCGAAACGTCGCTGAATGCCATAAAGTTGCAGTTTTTTCTGCAAGTTCAATGAAGCAGGCTTCATCTCCTCCGATCAACGATATCTTTGAAATAATTTGCATCTACAGTTCGTAAAACTTAGGACAGGGTACTATAAACTGCCGGATAATTCCTCTCTTGGCGGACAAACTGAGCAGTGTCTAGGAAGGAGGTGCTTGCGCTTGCTGTGTTTATCATGTCCCCGGTAGGTTGGGTCGCCATCTATCACGTGATGATTGGTGATGAGTGACAGATTCACGTGCTGATGGATGATGCGTGAAATAAACACGTGCTAATGTGTGATGAGTGACAGACTTGCTGATGAGTGACGTGTGAAATATACACGTGCGGATGTGTGATGAGTGACAATTACACGTGTGCTGGAGAGAGAATAGCTTGACCGTTTGACGAGCATTGGTTAGAGTATGGGTTGACAGACGTGTGCTGGTAGGAAGATAGATTGACAGATTGACGAGCATTGGTTAGAGTATGGGTTGACAGACGTGTGCTGGTAGGAAGATAGATTGACAGATTGACGAGCATTGGTTAGAGTATGGGTTGACAGACGTGTGCTGGTAGGAAGATAGATTGACAGATTGACGAGCATTGGTTAGTGAGTGTGTGAGTATGGTTTAACGCCGCTATTGGCAATATTCCAGCAATATCACGGCGGGGGACACCACAAATGGGCTTCACACATTGTACGCATGTCGGGAATCGAACCCGGGTCTTCGGCGTGACGAGCGAACGCTTTAACCACTAGGCTACCCGACCGCCCCAGCATTGGTTAGAGTATGGGTTGACAGACGTGTGCTGGTAGGAAGATAGGTTGACAGATTGACGAGCATTGGTTTGAGTATGGGTTGACAGACGTGTGCTGGTAGGAAGATAGATTGACAGATTGACGAGCATTGGTTTGAGTATGGGTTGACAAGACGTGTGCTGGTAGGAAGATAGATTGACAGTTTGACGAGCATTGGTTAGAGTATGGGTTGACAGACGTGTGCTGTTAGGAAGATAGATTGACAGATTGACGAGCATTGGTTAGAGTATGGGTTGACAGACGTGTGCTGGAGAGAGAAGAGCTTGACAGTTTGACGAGCATTGGTTTGAGTATGGGTTGACAGACGTATGCTGGTAGGAAGATAGATTGACAGATTGACGAGCATTGGTTAGAGTATGGTTTGACAGACGTGTGCTGGTAGGAAGATAGGTTGACAGATTGACGAGCATTGGTTTGAGTATGGGTTGACAGACGTGTGCTGGTAGGAAGATAGATTGACAGATTGACGAGCATTGGTTAGAGTATGGGTTGACAGACGTGTGCTGGTAGGAAGATAGATTGACAGATTGACGAGCATTGGTTAGAGTATGGGTTGACAGACGTGTGCTTGAGAGAGAATAGCTTGACAGATTGACGAGCATTGGTTAGAGTATGGGTTGACAGACGTGTGCTGGTAGGAAGATAGATTGACAGATTGACGAGCATTGGTTAGAGTATGGGTTGACAGACGTGTGCTGGTAGGAAGATAGATTGACAGATTGACGAGCATTGGTTAGTGAGTGTGTGAGTATGGTTTTACGCCGCTATTGGCAATATTCCAGCAATATCACGGCGGGGGACACCACAAATGGGCT